CCCCCGCCCCCATCATGCTTCTCACTTCTCATTTTCTTCCTTCCAGAACTTTCTCATTCTCTATGGTTTTTTAAAGAATAGGTCCAGTAAAGTTCCCACTCGAAATCATGGCACAGGATAAAGGCCCTGTGGCTTTTTAATGATGGAAAAACCACCCAGTTCCTTTCATGTCTTTCATTTCTTTCTGAAAGGATGGAGCTGCTTGCCAACTCCCTCCTCCAATCCTGATAGGAGTTTACGGCATCAGAAAGACAGGCATTCACTTTAAACTAACCCCTGCCTTTCAACACTGGCAAGTCAACGATGTGATTTCATAGGTACCTGTCATGTGGGGTCACCTACGGGGGTTCTATGGCTCCTACCTAAGCCAGCTCCGGGCTCCCTCCCTCGTACCCTCACCTCCCTCCCCAGCAGGGTCATAACATTCCACCTATCTGACCATATCATGTGGATTCCTTGTACATGGCCTCTGGGTCACATGGAGCTACTTCTTCTTGGGGACCCTCTGCTGACCCAGCCCACCACATCCATCCCAACCCCTAAGACTCTGATCCTGGAAGGTAGCAGCCTCTCTCGGCCGGTCCCGACCTTCAAACACTCCCCCAACACAAAGCTGATGCTGAGCTGCTCTGGAACTCTGATTTATCCCATCACTTTGTTGTCCCGGACTTTGGTGACTCCACTGGCTTTGGAAGCCAAATCCAAACTCTGGTTTGGTGTTCCAGGCCTTTCCTGGTCTGGCTGCCTCTTTTCAGTAGAAAAGTTCCCCACTCTGGCTCCATCCTGGGCTTACTGTCCCCCAACATACCTGCTGTCTTCCCTGCTCTGTGCCCTCTCACGTGGCAACCCGTGACAGTCCCAGGAAGGTGGTCATTGGCCAACAGCCTTCCTTCAAGGGTCTTCTTAACAACTATGGGCATGGGACTTGCATGGTCAGGCTCCTGTAACAAACTGCCAAAGAATGGGCAGCTTAAACAACAGAGAATTATTTTCCCATAGTTCTAGAGGCTAGAGGCCCAAGATCAAGGTGTGGGTAGGGTTGGACTCACTTCCTTTGAGTCCTTTGAGCAGTTGGCTGTCTATTCTCTGTATCTGCTCTCCCTTCAGGCATTTGTATCCAAATATATTTTTCTTATCAGGATCCCAATTATATTGGATTAGCACTCACCCTAAAGACCTTGTTTCAATTTAATTACCTCTTTTAAAACTTCGTCTCCAAATGTAGTCACCCTCTGAGCCACCAGGGTTGGGATTTCCACATAGGGATTGGTGGGGGACTAATGCAGTCTGTAACAGGTTCTCAGATCGCTTCTGCCCCCTTCTCTAAGATTGCTGCAGGGAGAATGGCCACAATCTCCCGAGGACAGGAACCTCCTGCTTCCCCCAGAGCCCAGAGCTTCTCCAGAGCTTTCAAGTGCACCTCGCAGGGAGTCTGCCGCTAGGCCTCTGGTGCACCCTGGCATTGGGCTTTGGAGTCAGGCAGGCCTTCCTTACACCCAAGCTCTGCCGCTTACCAGCTGCGTGGCTGAGAAAGAGCAAGGTACTTGGCCTCTCTGAGTCTTGTCCCAGCTGGAAAGTGTAAGCTTGTATGGGAATTAGTTCAGAGAACAGTCATAAGGAGTAAGAATAGCACCGGACTATTCTCACTCACTCTCTTCTGAGTCCCCAGAGTTTCTTACTGTGACCTCTTTGTATAACCTAGACCTCTCAGCTCATGAAGCCTAGACGGGGACAGGAGAATGGCTTACTGATGAAGTCGCCCATTGCTCCAGATATATGAGACAGGAAACGTGAATTATATACACACACATATACAAATACTTAATTGTTATATGTATAAATACATATTATATGTAAATATGCGTGTATAATTAATATATAAATTATATATGTAAAATGTCACCCCTTTGGCTTTTTAAAAAATATTAAAGTGTCAAAGTATTATCTTAAAATACCAGTTGTAAAGTCATTAGCTATTACAAAGGTATGTGTAGTTGCTCTAACACAAATTTTACATAAAATGTCCTTCCTATTACTTTTAAACGAGGAAGAAAAAAGAATACACTCTCTGCTTTCCCCTCAGAACTAATTTCTACATTCCAAGTAACTTTTAGTGGGGAAGAAAAGGCACTTTCCTAGTTGTCCACAAGGGGGAAGACTGAGTCCATTCCTTCAGGAAGGTACCATCGAGTCATCATTAATGGTCATTTATAACTGATATTTCTGGGTTTTGTGACTGTGTCCTTCACAGAAATGAAGTTTTCCTACGCAAGGAAGACACCATGTTTTAAGCTGACAACTTGCAGATGGCCATTTATTTGGAAACATGTTTCAAAATCATTTACATCCATGCAATCATTGAGGATTCTAACAAATGCCACATTCGGGACATAAGAGCACTGTGGTCTTTCCACTAGAAAGCCAGGCAAATTATTTAAACTCACAGGAAAGGGGGGAAAAATCTTTTCTCAACATCAAACAGAAAACATTCTGTCTTTGAAAATGCAAATCCCTTAAACATATTCAAGAATTTTAACAAGCATCCCAGAAAGCTATCCTATTACTCTTTGAAGCCCTTGAAGACTTTTCTTAAAATAGTCGCAGCAGGCTCCTCAGGGTGGGGAGAGGGGGCTTTCAGCAATGAGGGAGATGGAGCCTCTGCAGCCGGTGCCCAGGAGCTCCTGGGTCCCTAGGTACATTCTTCCAGAAAGGAAGAGCAACCCCCAGAGAATCACTAGACAAAGGTAAGGGGGTGGGGGAAATCTTCCAGAAAGAGTTAGGCACAGGATCCATTTCCCATCTGTTCTGCATCTGGGGTTAGGAAAAGGACACAGAGCTACAGGGACAGCCTCGAAGAAGATGCTGAGCCCTGGGTGGTGGAGAGCTGGGATGGCTCATCGGCCTGGCATTCTGAGAAGACAGGTGGGGTGACAGGCAAGGCAGGAGTGAAACAGGGTTTAAGCTAATGACCAAATCTCAGCTTCAGGTCAAGGAATTGGATCTCCACCTAGCATCAGAAAAGAGAAGAACCAAGAAGATATCAGCAAATTCACTCAACAAAATCTTTGCCAAGGAAATGATTTAATATATTTCAGAGATATGGCTTTAGGATATTTATCACAGTGTTGCTTATAACAGGGAAACACACACAAAAATTTCCAAAAGGAAAACCTCTAAGCATCCGACAATAGAGGATTGTTCAGATAAATGATGCTGTAGCCACAAAAGAGAATATTACAAGACAATTGAAAATTATGACATAGAAATGTGCTTATTGTCGTGGAAAAGGTAGTAATAGTCCACTTATCTGCTAAGTAAAAGCTGGTTATCAAACAGTCCTTTGCAGGATGTTATACTAGAATTTATATGAAAAGACCAAGTAGAATTGCTAAAACAATTTTTGAAAAAAGAATAAAATGAGAAGGGTCACTCTCCTGGACTTCAAGACTTACTATGCAGCTGCAGCAATCAGGACTGTGGGATTCTGATTCGTTGATCAACAAGTCGGAAGAGAGAACCCAGGAACACACTGACACAAATATGTCCACTGTCATTTGACAAGAGAGTAAATGTGAATCGATAAGAGCACGGAAGACGCTCCTCCGACAAACAACACTGGAACGATTGTGAACAAAAAAGAACTTCAAACTATCTCCCGCATGTTACATTAAAATTAAAAATGGATCACAAATGGAAATGTAAAAAGGTACTGCTTTAAAACCTAAAAAGAAAGTAAGAAAAAAATAGAAAGAAAGAAGAAAAGGAAGGAGGGAGGGAGGGAGGGAGGAAGGAAGGAAGGAAGGAAGGAAGGAAGGAAGGAAGGAAGGAAGGAAGGAAGGAAGGAAGGAAAAAAAATCTTCAGGAACTGGACTAGATAGAGTCCTTCAACATGGCATGAAAAGCATGACCCATAAAGGGAAAAGTGAATAAACTGAACTTCATCAAAATTAAAAACTTTTTCTCTGAACAAAGCCTTGCAAAAGGGGATAAAAAAATTCAGCGCCAGAGCAGGAGAATGTATTTGCAAACCACATATCTGAAAAGAACTAGACTCTAGAACACATAAGTGATTTGTAACACTGAGCAGTAAAAAAACAGACCAATTAGAAGACAGACAGAAGAAGAGGTTTTACCAAAGAGGGTGGTGTTCAATGTCATTAGCTGTTGGGAAAATGTAACTTAAACCACAATGAGATACCACTACATCAGAATGGCTAAAATAAACCCAGTGACAGTGCTGACTGCAGAGGAGGCTCATTCAGACACTGAGGAGAATGTGAAACAGGACAGTCACCCTGGAAAAGATGCATATGGGGAACCACTGCAGCTCACATAGAACCCAGCGGCAGCAGTCCTGGATACTCATCCTGGAGGAATGAAGATTTATGTTCAGGCCCAAATCTGCATGAATGTGCATAGCCGCTTTATTCACAGTAGCTAAAAACTAGAACTAATCCAGACAGCCTTCAGTGGGGGAAAGGTCCAATAGACTGTGGTACATCCATACTTGGAATACTACTCAGTCCCTGGAAAGAATGATCTATCGACAAGCATCATCTAGATGGACCTCTGGAGAATTATGCTGAGAAAAGCCAATCCCAAAGGCTACATACGGTCCGATTCCATTTTTATAACATTCTTGAAGCGACACAATTTTAGAAATGGAGAACAGTTTAGTGGCTGCCAAGGGTTAGGGAGGAGACAGGCAGGAAGGAGGCAAGTGGAAGTATAAAAGGGGATTATGGAGGCTTCTTCGATGTGGGAAGGTCTCTATTGACCATATCAGAGTCCATATCCTGGCTGTGACACTGTGCTGCTGTTTTGCCAAACGTTACCATTGTTAGAACCTGGATAAAGTGTCAGTGGACTCTGCTATTTCATCAACTGCTTGTCAGAATGTATGATGACCTCATAAATTTAAAGTTTAATTAACAGAACAGAGTGCAAGACTGTCCCCAGGAAACTGGCAGACGTGGGTGTGTGGACTGTGCCACCAGGCTTCCCGAGGTCTGGCATTCTGCAGGGGACCCTGGTGGGGTGAGGCTTATTATATATTCCAGGGGGCATCTGGGTGGTGAGGCAAAGCCATGGGGTGGTGGCAAGAGGAGTCCCCACATGGCCTGTCAGTCTCCTCTGAGCCCCTGGGGCACTCTCTCTCTGCACTTGTCAGCAACCCTCACATCATGGGAGTTGGATGGAGGAAAGGACCCTCCAGGCAGCACAGGGTTGCAGGCAGAGCGCCGTCAGACACCGTGGGCCCTGCTCAGGCACTGTCTTCAGGACTGGTGCACACCCACCCCAACCCTGCCCACAGGGGAGGAAGCAGCTACACCATGTCCTTACAAGTGAGAGCTACCTGTCAGTTGATGTCCATCAGCAACCGGCAAACGAGCAGGCTCATTGTCTCCTGGAGTAATGGACTATACTGCTGATTGCTTAACAAGAGCAGCTTTCTCCAATTAAATAGCCACAGACAGGTTTTGTTGCAAACTTTAGTGCTCCTCCTAGTAACCAAAAGGTAAACAGGATGTGATTTATCATTTTGCAAGCAATGAGATTTTGATCTGTTAACTTCTCCTGACGAGGACGCGGCCATCAGAGATGTAAACAAGCTCTGAGACTGAGAATCCGGAGGGAGATGAGAGTTAGAAAAGCTGATGCTGTATTAGCACACCAGCCACACACGCATGCACACAAATACAGGCACCCACAGGAGAAAACATGACCACAGAGACAAGGAGGAACTTGGCCCAAAGAGATAACACGAGGAAGGGGAAGTAGGCCTGGAATCCTGGGGGTTGGGGAAAGCTCTCTTTTTACTCTAAGCAGCACTGGTGCTAAAACTAAAATAAAATCCTTCCCATTGGCTCATGGAGTTGTTTCCTACCTCAGGGCCTTTGCATTTGCTATTTCACCTGAGAACTCTGCCCCCAGATCTGCACCTGGAAGATTTCTAGGTTCTGGTCTCTTCATAAGTACCATCCCTAATCACTCCCCACAAACTGGTTTCCAGCCCCAGCACCTCCAATCACAGTTCCCCTGTTGCGTCTCCCTGATTATCTATCTCCTTCAATGTGTTTATCTCCGGGAACTGTCTCATTTGTTTATGGTTTATTCCTGCCAAAGTGGAAGTTCCATGAAGGTAGGATGCTGGTTCATTTCACTAAATCCCTGTGCAGAGGGTCAGTGACAGAAGCTGTTTCTGCAGTAGTTTTAATTCTGTCCAGGAAATACTTGTGGTCATCCTGAAAGGTCCCTCCCAAGTTTTTACAGCATGAAAAACTCAAAAGGGCAAAAATCCTTCACCTTTTTGGAGATATGGGGAGCTTTTATGAGAGGCCTGACAAGGCAAGTCAGTGGGGCCCCAGAATTGTGTCCCCTACATGTCTGAGTCTGTGCCAGGTGCCCCCAGGTGTCTCCAGGTGCCAGGTGCCCCCATCTCTCTCCACCAGGCTCTAGCCACTGCCTTCTCCCCCTCCCCCCACCCGGGGCAGTCTGCTCAGGTGACATCACTAGTTTTTTTTTTTTTTTTTTTAATTACCTGGGATTGAACCCAGGGGCACTTAACCATTAAGTCACATCCCCAGCTCTTTGATAAAAAAATCTTTTATTTAGAGACAGGGTCTCGCTTAGTTGTTGCCTCACTAAGTTGCTGGGGCTTGGTTCCTGAACTCGCAGTCCTCCTGCCTCAGCCTCTTGAGCCACTGGGATGACAGGTGTGCGCCCCCATGCCTGGTTCTATCACTAGCCTTTTCTGAGCACAGAGCACTTGGCCAGCTATAAAGCCTGGTTTTCAATGTCAGGTGGGGCCTGTTGGAATCACTTCCTAGAGAGGGGGACAGAGCCCTGGTC